AGCATTGTTTAAGACAATATATGCGCTCAACTACAAAAAGCATTGTTTAAGACAACAGATTGTTATTGCAAAAGCTCAAATTGTAACTCTTGAAATGCAAATCGTGAAAAATATTTTGGAAAAGTCGCGTTTTTTACAATAACTATTGACATGACAATTAGGTTTTCAATTGATATTGAGAAATTGACAAATAAATTGAACTCCATTTAAAATTTTTGCACTCAACAATTAACAAAAAAAAAATTGGATTCGGTAACAACAAGAAGTATTACTGCTAGAACTATGAGTACTAAAAAACTGCAATTCTGTTTTTATGATAATAGACAGCCCTGGAAAATATTATTTTGGCCTCTTCTTGCAGCGATTATTTTGTCAATATAAAACTTAAAAGGCATAACTAGACACTCTTGCTATGTTTTCTTGGTGTAGCTTAGAAGATAAAAGCAAGCCAATATTTACACATGAAATAAAAAATAAATTCCTAAATCAACTATAATGCATGATCTTCATAACATTTACATTTTAACTTCACCATGCATTCCTCAAATACATAAACAAATAAAATGTAAATTCATTTTTTTCATATTAAAAATAATCCGAACTACTTACCTTTAAATCCCAAGACGTAGATAAAACATCCACCTAAGTTGAAATGTACATAAAACATATATTTTGTCTCGCTTAAAATAAACAATTGAGTTGTGGATAGTACATATACATATAGAGAGTGAGTTCGGAAAATATCTCATTTATTTTAGCATATTTTTTTTGCCGCAATAAATCTCCGCCGTTGTTTACTATTGATTTAGAGTCTGCATGCATGACAAAAAGTCAAAGCGAAGATGACGTGATGACTTGTGGAGTTCAATGTTATTGATAAGTTGTCATCAATCATAATGGCTCTTATATGAAAATATATTGTTTAAGACTTTGAAGTCAATGCAAAGATATGTGGTCCATTCCATTGTGTAGTATGAAACCTCACATATAGATATGTAGGTGTGTACCACAAGGTTAAGAATTTAAAGGCATGCGCACATGGATACAATGAAAATTCAAATTGAAATATTTCAATTTGAACTATAAAATTTTTAGGATAATTTCTTTTATATCCTAATATATGCATGCGCTTTTCTTACACATTGTCCCATCAAAAAATTTCTTTTTTACCTTAATATGGGATACCACACCGGTCGAGTTAGGCCCTTGAATGAAGGGGCAGAGCTAGAATTTACAAGCTATCCAGACTACAAGTATAGCAAAATAATATGTAATAAAATGATAAATATACTAGTTATTTAAGATTCCAAGATGCTTATAATTTCTATTAGAATAACTAGATAAAAAAGAAAAATATACAAAATGATATACAAATTTTGGATTTTGTACTTAAATCATATTTCACTTAGATGAGCAGTAATATTGTTACTCCGAATATAAAACAGTACAAGTATTTTTCCTACAAACTATAATATAGTTCCTTGCAAAATAGGGAACGTGATTTGTAACACTTGACGAGAAAAAAAAATCATATCTAAAATTGCGCACCAAAGCTGCTTCGAGAATCGCGTTTGTTGGTAAAAAAAAATTACTATGCATATATTCAGTTCTTCAATACAAACATCGAAGAAACAGAAGCACTGCATTTCATGTTTATTCACCAAAATGCTGATCATTAATTATTACAGTACATTTGCACATTCAACATTCTTCAAATGCACATTTAGGGTGTATACACTTACACTACAGACCTTGTACATGAATATCATACAATAAAAAGCCAAAAATACAGACCTTGTACATGAATATCATACATAAAAGCCAAAAATCAGTAGAAAAATCGCCTTCTCCTTCTGGTTTGCTTAACGGGCAATGTGTTTTCACCATTGCCTGGAAATTCGCAACGGGCAATCATTCCATCCCACGAGGAGCTTACAATCATTGGGAAGTGTGGGTGCCAATTGCAATCACGCACAACATCCTCATGATAATCGAGCTTTGCCACTTGAACACCACTCAACTAACACAGGCCAAAAATGAAGAATATAAATAAATAAATAATCAGAACGAAAGAAGTTCAAGAACAAAGGTTAAGTACGTACCACATCATAAACATAAACAGAGGAATCTGCTGATCCCGTGTATATATACTTTTGCCCGGTGCTGTAGAAGTCAAAGCACCAGAATGCAAGTCAAAAACATGAAAATGCCCTAAGTGTAAAAATTCCATCTAGTAATCAAATACTGTTTCTTTAAAACAAACAAAGCACATGATATGGTTTTATCCACAATTCAAGCTCATGACATTCGGAAAGAATTTTCAAATACAAAAAGACATGCATAGCAAACGCCTCACAGATTTATGGCAAAAATATAATATAATATAATAATCATATTCACCTATAGGCCGGCGAGAAATAACAGCGTATGAGAGTGCGCAAGACAGAATGGCCTCTATATGTAGCCAGTGACAGGTCACCAGGATGTCTCAAATTTCTCGCCTGTTCTGGATAGTCCATCCATCTGTAGTCCCATTCTGCATACCGCCTTCTTGGTGTGCTAG